GTCTGGAGTACAGTGGATTGGCAACAGGGCCAGGCTGATTTTGATTCAAAACCCATATTCCTCTGCTTCTCGCCTTTCCCATCTGCATAGGGAAGGCAAATCTCATTGGCTGGTTCCTTTGGGGATTGGTCTAACAATGCCTGTCTTTTTCTTTTAAGGATTCCTCACTTAATCATTCTTCCTTTACTTTGCTTTCCCAGATGTTTGAACACATGGATGCCTTCACACTCCCCCTTCCTACATTATCTCCTAGATACTTACACAGACATTTTCTTTTTTTTCTCCTTTACAGTACTATCATTACTTTGATGCGACAATAATCAAAGCAATAGGGAATAGGCTGTTCACAGGTTCCTACATTCCTCTTTAAGTCCATGAAAATTTTGTAGCAAGAAAGAACTGATGGCTCAGCTTCATTAAAACAAAATAGCAATGTTCCTGCCTTGTGATTTAAAAAAAAAGTTTTTAGAAAATAATAAAAGGAACAGAGGACAGGGGAGTACAGCGAGAGGAAGATGCTTCACCTGGTCAGGTCAAAAACCAAAAGGATGCCCACAGGGAGAGATAAGGATTGAATGGAGCATGGGTTTCTAGGGATCAGACTAGTTCACTGATTTCATGGGTCATTGTTGAATCAATCACCAGATTATAAAAACACAACTGCCAAGCATCTGGCAAGCAGGTGAGACTGTCCCCATCTTCGTAACCTTCCAGAGATCTTTTTCCCCAAACTTCCAAATTATTGCTGCTTTTATTATGACTTGTTTTTAAAGTTTGCTTTTTTATGTTTGTTTCTTATTGTATGCTGAATTATGTTTGTGAGATGGACAGATGAAGTAAGTAAGTAAGTAGGTAAGTAAGTAAGTAAGTAAACCCAAGATGAAATGGATGTACAGAATAATGACCAGATCAGAGGTGGGTTCCTACCAGTTTGGACCGGTTCTTCCAAACCGGTAGTAGCTTGGCGACCTGGGTCACTGCAACCGGCAGTGACTCAGGCTTGACACGCCCCTGAACCATTTCTCCTATGGGGCTGCCATCTCGTTTTTTGCTTCTGTAGAACAAATTTCAGTGCAAAAATTTATAATTTTTTTTTCATTTTTGAAAGTTTTGCACAGATATTTTTATTTGCAAATGCGCACGCACGTGGAGCAAAATTTTTGAGGCACTGAACCGGCAGTAATGCCGGCAGCAACCCACCCCGTGACCAGATGCTGGAGAGGTGGGACAAGGCATTACAGCCAATTAGAGTTGAGGCTGCTACTAGAATGGAACAAACTTCTGGAAATCATACGCTTGAAGGACTTAAGACAGTTCTGATGAGAAAGCAGTTGTTTTGAACTGAAACTGGAAAACCTAAGCTTAGAAGAAGGAGGATAATGTCCTCCATTTCTGGGTTCAGGAAGCAGGACTTATACTGGCCATGGACCAAGCAGAAGCCAAAGATTTGCCCTAAAATAGCTAAAAGCAGTCTCTGAGGCTTTAGGTCATATCCCTCAAAATAAATCTTAGGGTTTCTTCCCATCTATGACACCTATTTCAAATGCAACTAAGAGAGAATATAGATTTTTATAGTATAGGTTAGCTAGGATGTTTGAAGGACAAGAAAATTAGAGAACTATTTACAGTACTACATTTTCGTCCAGATTTTTCTACATGGAGTTCTCCCCATTGTAATCCTTTCAAGAAATTTGGCACCCTAAGTAAGTTAGGCAGTCTGTGATGGGTCACAAAATCTACACTAAATATAATTATACTGTATGTTTTTGTACTCAGGGCTCTCTTATTTATATTTATTTGTTTATTAGTCAGATTTATATAGCTGCCCATCTCACCATAGGCAACTCTGGGTGGCAGCAAGAATCCATAAGAATAATTAAAAAAAACCAGTGTATTAATAAATATCACAAAAGCAAAAACACAAGCCACAAGAGAGGGGGATAAGAATTGTCACCCCAACAATGGAGCCATCAGAGCAGGTTCCTGGTCATGTTGGTTGGGGATTTCTGGGAGTTGAAGTCCACACATCTTAAAGTTGCCAAGCTTGAAAAAGACTTTGAACAGTGGTCCCCAAGTAGGATGATTCCACGTGAATAGCAGGTGTGCACGCAGCTTCAGTTGTGCCAGCAGTGAGCACACGCAAATGGAGCTTTGCATTGACGTGCTCACCAGCTGCTTCTGTGGCCTTGTTCCAAACATGCCTGGTAGTGAGGTGCTGTCCAGTAGGTTGGTGACCAGGAGTGAAAATCAAAAATTTTCCCTACTGGTTCTATGGGCGTGGCTTGGTGGGCGTGGCTGGGGAAGGATATTGCAAAATCTCCATTCCCACCGCACTCTGGGGCCAGCCAGAGGTGGTATTTGCCGGTTCTCCGAACTACGCAAAATTTCCGCTACCGGTGCTCTAGAACCTATTAGAATGTGCTGGATTTCACCCCTGTCAGAGACTCCTGCCTTAGAAGGACTCTAGCTTTCCATTATAAACATATTAGAAATCAGTTTCCAACCCAATATTTACCCTCAACTACCTCCCAGGCGAGGGAAATTTTTAAATAAAGACTCCTAGATATCAGTGGTCAAACTGACATGGAGTTATTGGCAAAAAAATAGATCTTTAATTTGGTTGGCTAAGAACAAAACTATTTTTCAATTTTAAAAATATTTGTCAATAAATTTGAAACAATTCTTAAGAAGAAGCTCTATTCTACAGCTGCATTTGAGTTGTTGGATTCCATGACTAAATATAGGTGTTTCTGTCCCCTGCCATATCGCAAGGGGTCATGTGTAGGGGGTGCCCCAGCCATTGAAGATATTCTCAAGTTTAGTTTGACTGTTAATTATAAGCCCCTCTTGTCAGCTTTGGAAGCCATATTAACACCGGAAACTTCCACACTGCCACATTCTTATGCTTGGGAAATTAGCAGGGAGGATTTAGTAGAGGGAATGTAGTTAGACATAATAGCATTCTTCTTTTCAGTCAAGGTCATGATATTCCTGCCCTTGGAGGAGGAGTGGTTGAAGTGATGTCTTGAGTTGGAATGGATTGTGATTGGACCATGTGATGGACTGATGGGTGCAGGGGATGGGTTTCAACTTTTGACTTACTGAGTGAAAACCCAGAACTCTCAGATTTGGGTTTCCCCAAATGTCCCTGTGTACCTACTCTAAATAAAGGGGAACTTTGAGAAAATGCCTGTCTCTGAGTTTTTCATTGGAGTTGGGGTTTTCCGAAATGCTGACATTTCCTAGGCTTAAATACGTAATATCCCTACTTAAAAGAACAGCCCACAGGGATCTGAATTGCAGTTGTCCTATTTCCTTCTGAGTTCTAAGATGTGTATTATGAGCAAAACAGCTACGTTAAGGCGCTGAACTCATTACATCAAACCGATTGGGATATCCTCTAAAGGTATTTATCTGAATGTTGATTCTTTGTAATTTACCACATAAATATTTTATTATTATTCTTTATCCATTTTATCCTGGAATTGCATCCCAATTTATTTTTTAATATGGTTGTTGTAAGACTAATCAATTTATCTATCTCTTACTCTCTGGATTGAGGCATATTGTGATTTCTGGAAGCACAGGGGAAAAAAAAGAACATTTGAAGGTAAGAGTATGGCTGCCTGAGATCAGAGGGGGGTTGCTCCCAGTTTGGCCCTGTCACATTCTGAGCATGCTCACCAAGTTTGTGTAATGGCGGGAGATAGCTGACAGCTGATTGGCTTACCATCCGACAGCCCCGAGTATAAAAAAGAAGCTGTCAGATGGGAAGCCTGCTGTTCCTGTCTCGAAGCCAGTTCCTACTGTTAGCTTGTTGCGTTAAAAGGAATAAACTTGTTAGCCTTTATTCCTGTCTCTGCCTCAGTCATTCCGGGCATAACCCACTGTCCTAGTACACAATACTGGTGACAAGGTGGGATCGCCGAACTGAGGTCAGGAGCAAGCTGGTCACTACGAGCTGAAGTCACAATTTTGGAACCGAGCTCTGTCACTCGCGACGAGACGTCACTGCTGATTCTGACAGGAATGGCCACCCTAACGTTCGCGCCGTTCAGCCAGGGCTCCAAGATTTGGGAGTCATACATAGCCTCGTTCGAATGTTTTCTGGTCACTCACGACATTACTGAGTTAACTAATGAAAGAAAATGTGTGTTTTTCCTGTCAGTTTGTGGATCCGACGTTTTCCACAGAGCAAGGGCTCTCACAGCCCCTGACCCCATCAAAGCGGTTCCATGGCAAACGTTAATGGCAAAACTCAAGAGCCATTATGCTCCATCACCATCTAAAATTGCCCGCCAGCACACATTCCACCGCAGGAACCAAGGAGAAGGCGAGTATGTCAATAATTACGTGGCTGCTCTAAGAACGGCAACTCTCCACTGCGGATTTAGAGACCTTGACGAGGCATTACTTGACCGTCTGGTTTGTGGCATCTGAGACTTGAGGCTACAGAGGCATCTCTTAGCGAAGGCTGACCTGTCATTCCAGTCCGCACTCGATGAAGCCCGCACTGCAGAGCTAGCCGCGTCCTCATTGGCCACTATTAAACAGCATCACCCCTCCGCCACTGCTGACCCTTTGGGAATGGCCAGCATGGCTGCGGTTCACCAAGGGGAGGTGAGTGAAGAGTCAGAGCCTGAGGAGGAGGAGGACATAAACTGCCTTAATGAGGCGAACAAAAAGGGCTATGCGAGAGGCAAGGGTACCCCTAAATCTGCATGTATTGCGTGCGGAGGCAAGCCATCTACCAGCGCTGTGGCAGAAGGGGCCACATTGCTAGAGTGTGCCGGGCCTCCCAGCTGATGACTGCCCTGGGGTTCCAGGCTGGCAAAACTTGACATTCCCACGGCCTGCCGGAGGGTCCAAAGAAGCCAAGAGTCGAATGTCATGCCATCCTCTGAAATACACCAACCGGTGAATCAATCAATTGGCAATCGTGCCACAGCATAAAAAAGAAAATCCAGCTGGCGGTCTACATCGAAGGAGCTCCGTGTCAAATGGAGCTCGATACCGGCTCAGCCACATACGTTGTTTCTTGGAGCACCATAAAGAGGCTTATTCTACAGCTTGCGAAGCACCATTTGCAGAGCTGCAATTTGACCCTCAGAGACTATCAGGGAAACCTGATCCCTGTAATCGGCACTAGCAAATTTAGGGTGCAGTTCAAGGGATTTGAAGGCAGGCTTCTGCTCATAATCATTGATGGAACGCTGCCCAGTCTCCTTGGGCTGCATTGGTTTGACTCCCTCGGCCTGCAGATCAGCGGCATACATAGCGTAAACCAATCCAACCTGAACTACCTAGTTAGAAAATTTCCCGCTGTGTTTGACGGTCAGCTGGGCCATTACACTGGCACGCCTGTCTCTTTCAACCTTGATCCTTCAGTGCCACCCATCCGCATGAAGCCGCGTTGTGTGTCAATCGCCCTCAAGCCTAAAGTAGATGCTGAACTAGACAAGCTCATTGCACAGGGGGTCCTTGAGCCGGTGGACCATGCGAGATGGGAGACCCCCATCGTCCTGCCAATCAAGCCCGATGGCAGTGTCAGAATCTGCACTGACTACCGCTGCTCCATCAACCGCGCACTGCCATCTAACGCCTACCCCGTGCCGATGGTCCAACACCTACTTCATACCTTGGGCGAAGGCTCCATCTTCGCGAAGCTAGACCTCGCCCAGGCACACCAGAAGCTGATGGTCAACGACGATGCAGCTGAAGCCCAAATCATCATAACTCACTGGGGCGCTTTCAAATGCTGCCGGTTACAATTTGGGGTAAGCATTGCCCCGGGCTTGTTCCAAAGCTTGATGGAGCGGTTGCTCCAAGGACTCAGTGGCGTCGTCCCATACTTTGATGACGTCCTAATTTCCGCCTCCTGCCATGAGGAGCTGATGTCCCGGCTGTGTTTTACAGAAATTTCAGCAAATGGGACTGAAGGTGAAGCGCGAAAGATGCCAGATTGCTGTCAGCCAAGTCAAATTCCTGGGGTTCCTGGTTGATGCTCAGGGCATCCAATTGTGGCTGGGGTCTGACGGTTCCACCATATGTCTACGGCCACCGGTTCCAGATTGTCACCAACCACAAGCCACTCCTCGGGTTGCTCGCTGGGGACAGGCAAGCTCCGCAGGTGATGTCCCTTCGCATGACCCGGTGGTCTGTATTCCTAGCTGCTTATGATTACTCCCTGATCCACTGCCTGGGCAAGCAAATCGCCCACGCCGATGCCCTGGGTAGATGCCCCCTGCCGGACGCGCTAGAAGATCTTGCGCCAGTGTCTTCTGTGCTACTTGTGGAAGACCTGGGCCTGCCGGTCATGGCTGCTGACATCGCCCGGTTGTCCGCAAAGGACCAGGTAATTTCCCAGGTTTTAGATTGGGTGAAGAGGGGGTGGCCCAGGGACAACGTAGGGCCAGAATTCCTCCCGTACAAGACTCAACTGCCGGAGCTCTCTGTGCAGAGTGGCTGCCTATTATGGGGCCATTGAGTTATTGTACTGCCTCCACTAAGGACCACCGTCCTGCAGCAGCTTCACTATGCCCATCCCGAGATTGTATGGATGAAGGCGTTGGGGCGTAGTTACCTATGGTGGCCTAAGCTAGATCAGGACATAACCGACCATGTCTCCCGGTGCCCACAATGCCAGAGCTCGCAGGCAGCTCCACCTAGGGTGGAGCATCGGGAATGGGAACAGCCTAGCTCTCCATGGTCCCGCCTTCATGTAGATTTTGCGGGTCCCATTCAGGGACAGGTCCTCCTCATTGTGGTGGACGTGTTTTCCATATGGCTGGAGGTTGTCAGAATGCCATCCACCACTGTGGATGCACTGATAGCGGCCCTCTGGAGGTTATTCGCCATCCATGGGATCCTGGACATGCTGGTGTCCGACAATGGACCTCAGCTGACGTCCACCAAATTTGAGGCCTTCCTGGCCTCTATGGGGATTCGGCACGCGTTGATTTCCCCTTTTCACCCAGCTAGCAACGGCTTGGCAGAGCGCATGATCCACCCCTCCAAGGAGGCCCTCGCCAAAATGAGCCCAGCCGGTTGGCAGAAACACATAGATGCTTTCCTGCTGGCCCATCACACAACACCATGCCCAGATACTAACATGAGCCCTGCAGAGCTATTAATGGGCTAATGCCTTGGAACTGCTCTTGATTGGCTGCACCCCAATTATGCCACCCCTAAGCCCTAAGGCTCCAGGGGTGGGACACATTCTTTTGCGAGGGGGGAGGCAGTATATGCTAGGAATTACGTAGGACACCCTTTGTGGCTACTGGGCGTTGTGACTGACCAAAAGCTGCACGACGGCTGGGAGTGGCGGTGCCACTGCGACCAGATGCGGGCCAAACGAGCAGCCTTCCCAGTCCCAGAGGGAGGATGGCACCGTGCCCGGAAACGCAGCCCCCGCAAATGTTCTTGCAGCCGGCCCACAAGTATGAAACAATGACTTACTGGGAGAGCATGTCCACCCTTGGGTGCCTCTACGTTCGGTGCTGCTGCCGTCCAATGAGTCCAAGTCCTCGGAAAGCCGGCGGTCCACCCCAGACGTCGGAAGAGAGCCATGCAGTTCCGGCCGGGTTCGGCGGCACCCGCCCTACTTGCAAGACTATGCTTACGCGAACGTGGTGGGAAGGAGTATCATGTTCTGAGCATGCTCACCAAGTTTGTGTAATGGCAGGAGATAGCAGACTTACCATCTGACAGCCCCGAGTATAAAAAGGGAGCTGTCAGATGGGAAGCCTGTTGTTCCTGTCTCGAAGCCGGTTCCTACTGTTAGCTTGTTGCATTAAAAGGAATAAACTTGTTGCCTTTATTCCTGTCTCCGCCTCAGTCATTCCGGCCATAACCCACTGTCCTAGTACACAATAGGCCCAGTTTGGCCAAACCGGTAGTGGAATTCAGGCCTGGGTTGCAGAACCGGCAGCAACCCAGGCCTGCCATGCCCCTGAACCGGTTCCCTCTCCACTGCTGGGCCGCCACCATTTTGGTTTTTAGTGACTGCGTGCGTGCAGTTCACTGTAAATTGTTCTGTGCATGCGCAAAGAACAATTTACATTGAACAGCACAGGTGCATGTGTTGCGCATTGCACGGGGGTTGCAAACTGGGAGTAAAACTGGCAGCAACCCACCCCTGCCTGAGACCTCTACTTATTATTTAAGACAGGAAATTCAAGTCTGCAGAAACATGCCTGAATAATATCTGAATAGTCAGCAGTGTTGCAATGAGGAACTTTTTGCAAAAATCTCTCCCCCCCCCCCTGCGGTATCTATGACCACAGCCCACTAGTGAGGCAGCCTTAAGTAATCATTAGTTGAACCAACAATTAAAATCATGCTTTCTCCCTTACTGAGGACAGCCTCACTGTATATAAAGTCTGGAAGGCTATTCGTCACCCATAACCTTGGAAGGAAGTCAGGGGACTTTAGTGGCCTGAAGCGAAGGCGAAAGAGGGTTTAGCATTGGGAAGAACAGATTTCATGCTGGTTTAGTTTTCTGCCAACTCAAAGATGGGTGGAAAGCAGTTCAACTCAGCAGCAAGGAAAGATTCTAAAATCTGTAGCAGTTATGGCTTAATAATTTTGCATGACCCCTTGCCTTTGTCTTTGACTGACGGGTCCAAAATAAAACAGGAAGAAAAAGAAATTAAACAACTTTACAGCACATATGTAACTGACACATAGCTTTGGGTGCACATAGATTGGAAGGGCTTTAGTCCTAAGCTTTGTATGCTTTTCATTCAGGGAGCATAAAGACCTAGCTGCAGTCCCTGTTATGACAAACTGGCCTCTTTGTAAAATGAATAAAAGGCATAAGTTCAACCGGGAATGTATTTTTGCTTTTCTCATCCCTCTCGCCCCCCCAGCCTCTCCTCATCCCATTCTCTTCTGATGCTGGCCAAAGGTTTTTCTTCCTCTGCTTTCCTTCCTCAGCTCCTCTTCCTTTTCCCCCATTTGGTCTTTGTTCCAGAGTGACAGCAAACCTATTCTGGAAGTGAAATTTACCAACACTTTCTCAGCAGGAGATGTATGGCAGCTCACAGAGTGGCTTTTTTTTTTTTTTGCTGTCGGGCCCCAGAGGGATCAGAATCCCCAAAGACTCTTTCTCTCTCTCTCTCTCTCTCTCTCTCTCTCTCTCTCTCTCTCTCTCCTTTCTCTCTCTCTCTTTCTCTCTCTCTCTGCTCC